AAGGCCCCTGACTCCTCTGCTACCTGAGTCCAGGTCCTCAGCCCCAGGCCCTGCCCTCCCTGAGACCAGGGATCTGGAGAGGAGGAGGGGTGCAGCCTCACAGGCCCCACCCAGGGTTCCCAGGACCGCCAGGTAGGGGCTGCACAGATTTCTGGGCCATCCCCTCCTTGTCCCGAGGGGTGCGTTGGGAGCCACTTACCCCTCCCTCAGGGGGTCCCCGCACTGACTCTTGGCAGGAACAGGGACTCCTGTGTGTCTCCCAGGTGGGCTTCCCCAGATGACCTGACTCCGACCTCTCCCAGCATGGTCCTCACACTCCGAGAGGAGGGTGAGGAGGCAGCAGTCCACGCCCTCCCCCTGCACCCCACCCAATTCACAAAGAGCTGAGATTGGGGTTGGCCCCTCTGTCCTGGGGTGGGAGGCCACTCTTTGTCCTCAAGGTGCTCATGTTTACTTTCAGCAGGACCTGGAACTATCCCTTCTTGTAACCACAGGATGCATCCTGCAGGCCAAGGCCACCATCCCGCTGAGACCCAGAGGAGAAGGTGGGGCACTTACTTTTCTTGACACCTGGCCTGGCCTCGCAGGACTGACCACTGGGGCAGGACTTCATTTGGGACCCCTGTGTCTGGGTGGGTGTCTGCTCAGGCCTCCCTCAGGGTCTTGGGACGCCACCCTCTGCTGACCTGAGGCCACACTCCCCAGACCAAGGCTCACCTCCTTCAGACCCTGGGTGCAGAAGTCAGGAAATACCTCAGCTGCTCCCCCCCACCTTGGGGGACATGGAAGAAGGAGCCCAAGGGCAACAAAATCATTGTCTGTTTCAGGCTCTATGGTCTTCAGCTCTCAGCCTGCCTCCCTCCTGGTCTCCAACAAGACCTGGGGCCCTGCCCTCTGCTGTCCTGAGTCCTTTCCCCTCTGACCGCCCCGCACATCCCTGAGATCCAAGGCCAAATTCGGGGGTGCGACTCAGGTGGACAGCTGCTCCAGAGCCTCCCATCGATGACTCTGTTCTGGGGTCCAGGGTCCCTCATGTCCTCCCGCCGGGTCCTCACATCCAGTCCCATTAGCTCCTGACCCCCCCGTTTTTTAAAGCACGCCCCCAGCCTCTGTCAGACCAGGATGCGGATGTCCTGACACACTGCCTGTGGACTGGGCACAAACAGGCCTCCCAGGGCGGACCTCAGGGGCAGGCTTCAGTGCGTTGTCCCTGTTCTGGAGTCCAGGTCCCTCCCTGAGTCCTCCCTCAGGGATCTCAACATGAGCCGCAGCACATCTGGGGATCCTCTCTCTGCTGTCTCCAGGCCTGTTCCCTCAGACCGAAGCCC